ATTCAGTTAGGCTTCCGCTTTTCCAAATCCGAATTGCCGGGCCTTACGCTTGACCCCTGCCATCAGATTTTGTACAGCCACCTTGTCCACCTTCTTCGCCGCAGAAAGCCAGTTTGCCTTGAACTGCTGCTCGCCCTTAGCAGTTTTTTTGGTCTTCTTTAGGTTCCGCTTGACAATAGCCCAGTATTTCTCAATTGGGCGGAGCTCTGGCGTGTTGGGAGGGTTCTTGTCCTTGGGAACCACCTGCACGTTGTTGGCGGCGTACCACTCCATGGCCTTTTTACCGTAATGGCAAGATGCCAAATCCGGCCAAAACAGTACGGAACAACCGTGTTTCTTCAGGAAAGGCAGCAGACGTTTATTCAAACACTCTTTCACGTAAATTTCTTGGTTGACAGTCCCGGAAGCTATGAAAATGCTGCTTTTCAAGCCACAGGTACAGATGGCTTGCCAAACCAGATATTTATTTGCGAACTTTGACAGTTTCATGTGCTTGAAAACATCTGCTACCTTTCCCCTTCCTTTTGCCGTATAAAACTCCTGTCCCGGAAGCTGCTTGTAGTCGGCTTTGACGTAGGTTTCGTCGTCCATTACCACGCAGTCAAACTTCGTCAGCATCGTCGTGTACAGCCTCCGGGATCGCGCTTTGGCCGTCGTATTTTGTTTATCATCGCGATTTGGAGTCACTACCTTCTTGTAAGTCGATAGTCCGGCTCGTTTTTTGGCTCGATGCACGGTTGTAGACGATACACCCAGCTTATTTGCGGCATCTCGGAGAGAGAGGTTAGGGTTTCGCTTGAAACTACCGACAACTCTCTTTGTCGTCTCAGTGGCTTCCGGTTTTCGATTTCCCCCCGATCCAGACTTCCTGACTGTCGACAAACGTTCCCCAAACACTTTAATTACATTTGTAACGGTTGATTTGGCAACTTTTAGCGATTTTGCCAACTTTGCGTGCGAGTAGCTCGGATTTTCGCGATGCGCGAGCAAAATTTTGATACGCTGCTCTTCTTGCTTGGACGGCATTTTGACAACTGAAGAGTGAATTCCAAAATCAAAATAGGAGCAACATTCTACACACACACACCTTCAAAATGAGGGGTGTTCAGGTTTTTTAAATGCAAAATTGAAAGAAATACGTCAAGTTGATATTGACCAAATTTTGACCGTATCACCCTTTAATCTTGGAGTTCTCCCCTGAATTCTATTGTAAATTCAATGCGTATTTTCCTCAGAATTCCCATGGTATTTTCACAGAGTTCTCATACGTCAGAATACTCTTGAAACACTTATCAGAGTTCCTTTGAGATTGAACCCTCCAAATTCGATGCCTATGGAATTCTTCTCGCAATTTATTTCGAACTCTTTAGATTTTTCTTGGAAAAATCCTCAGAAATCACCCCAGAATTATTTTAGAAGTATCAGCAAAGATCATCTCTCAGAGCTCCCTTAAAAAATCAGAACCAACTTTGAATTATTATTAGAAGTATACATAGAATCCTCATCCAATCATCATAGAATACTTTCTATAATGCACATATAACTCTTGTTTCAAGTATATTGGAATTATTTCCAAAATTGATTCGGAGCTGAATTTAAACATTAATCAAAAGCGGCACTCGTATGTGTCAGTCTCAGGGGCGGTTTTTTCAACTTCGCTTAAGCCTTGACACAGGTTTAACTGTATTGGTAAATCTGATTTAAGATTTCGAGCGGAGGTGAAGAAATCGGCCCTCAAAGCACTTAATTTTACATGAGACTTTCGTAGTCTGTACTTTGGTATTACTTGCAGTCAACCCTAGAATTCTTTTAAAAGACTTCTGAAGATCTAGCACAGACAAATACCATTTAAAAGTTTCCAATGTTTAGAGTTTATTTTCGGGGAAAGGAGGTTTATTTCCCCGGTTCGTAATCGAAATTGAAGGCATTTCCCAGTATTTTTTCCTGGTTTTTTAAAGTCCCTTGAATGTTTGCAGTTCACTGGCCATCCTGGTTAAATAGATATAGGGGAATTTACGTATTCTCGTCAATCTAAGCAGCGTCTGCACTTCTACTAGCATTTTCTCAGCGTCACGCACATATATGATGTGTCTGTTTGTTTACATTCATCTGCTGCTTGCTTTTCTATCCATTCCAATCGACAGAATTTTTCAAAACGTTTTGAAAGCGTTTTTACAACGCTCCAAACTTCTCAGGTGAGTGTGACTATTGTCGGCAGCCTCTTTTTCTTCGGCAACCTTCCCATTAGAACTGCGTGTTAACCAGCTGTTCTATTATCGGCAACTCGAAATCAACCCCATTTTGTAGTGCGTATGCTTTATTTGAAGAAAAATGTAGCATTACTGGATTGCTCGATCGTTCAAATATAATCAGATTGAAGCTGAAAGGCTAAACAATCGTTTGGACACATTCAGGGAAGTGTGTTGATGGGAAAACATAGTGAAATTAACGTTTAAATTTTTGTTGCCGAAAACAGTCAATGGGTGCCGAAGCCAACATTTACCCTACATAATTTGTCATAACTACTGTAGATTTTCTTAGTGCCAAGTAGTCAATTTAAACATTTCGTTGATATTTTAAATTTCACTCTATTTTGGTTGTGAAAAAGAGTCTTAGTGACTATTTTTAGAGAAATAGTAGCTTTAGTGACTTTTTGGTTTAAAAAATGACTGTTTAGTGACTGACTTCAAAATAGTGACTAAGTCACTAAAAAGTGACCTGCTACCAGCCATGGGGGCATATCGGCAAAATTAAAAAATTTCTTGCATCAGCCTGTTTTCCCACAGTCTGTCGATCCTTTTCAAGCAGGAGAGAAAACTCGTAGAGTATATCCCCATGCATACCCCATTGCTCGAGACTATTTATCAATAATGATAGCAAGTGTTCCGTCAGAGAGGCTTTTCTCTAAAGCTGGTGAAACCACACAGAATCGATATCGGCTCAATGCAAAACGCATGGCTCAATAAGTTTTCTTTGAATCCCTCTCGGATGAGTGTTCGCCCTAATAAACGGGTACCATACTCTAACGATATCATAGATGGTACGACTATCCCACATAAAGTTGGGATGATATCCCGAATTGGTGGTTAGGCGCTTCTTATGGTTCTTGTTTATGCGGGCGGGTATCCGAATTAAGTACACTCCAACAATCTAATCGTTTTGTTTCATATGTTAATCTTTCGTCTTTTAAATCGTTCATTTAATACCAATATTATAACGAAATTCACACGACTATTATAACCTGTTAAATCATTCACTTAATCAAGAATCGTGAGAAAAAACTTCAGCATGTCAAAGGGGCAAATACATATTTTGGCCCGATTTGGCCAGCTGCCACTACTCCAAGGTGGTTCTGGAGTGGTATGCTGCCAATAAGATCGATTTTGTCGCCAACCTAATGAATCCTCCGAATTGTCCGGAATTTCGATCAATCGAAAAAATACTGGACAATTTCAAAGCAGCGACTTCGACGAAGCGGCGGTTCAGTCAAGGACATCCAGCAAATGCGGGCAAAATGGAAGAAATGCGCCGATTCCGTGTCCGTTTCCACTGTGCGGGCGCTGATGGGCTGCATCAAGAGGAAGGTTCGAGATTTCGTTCGAACTGGAGAAATATGACCATTGTTTATGCCGCCATACCGCCAATGGCGGTTGCCTCCAGCGCCCGGGAAAGCACCAACCGGGAAGGATTGAATTTCACTGCCTTACCCCGTTGGACGCACGTTTGGTCGCGGTTGCTTTGCTCACCATAGACAGTATGAGCAGATGTGTATGAATGGAACATGTTCAAGGCTTCCACCGGAATAGATCCCAATTGTGTGCATAAACCATGTAAATGGTTTTTGGCGTAGGACTACGTCTGTGATGTACGGGGTACACTTTGTGAAAACCAAAAATGGAACATGTAACAAAATTATGAAAGATTTTGAACGTTAATAACTCAGCTGCCCCTGGACCAATTTCAATAATGTTATCACCAATCGATCAGAAATATTTCTACGCATCTGTTATATTTAAGACTTTCATTTCTCAAAATGTCACTATTGAAAATTGCACGAGTGTGCAACTGTTGTTATAACCATCTAATGCTGTAACTTTGAAGTTTTAATAAAAGTACTGTAAAGCAACCATTAATGGACCTTTTAAATTTATTACATCATGAATTACAGGTCTTTTTGTGCGTACCAATTTACTTTTAGTCAGCCTTTAGTCTAGTCCAAGAGCCTCGAAATTTTTTTTTTCCAATTTGGCATCGAAGTTCACGAGTTAATCGCGATTTATTTTTCCGGTGACATCGAGTTTCCGTCATTTTTCGGTTTTATCGATTTCTCGGTTAACTGGTCAGTGTGTTTTACAGTTGAAACTGTACTCCTCAAAAGTGCGATAAAAGTGTACTTTGATGATGTATCGTCTTGGTTTCTTCTGCATACTTCTCGTTCGTTAGTTTACTATACTTCCAACTAGATAGCATACTGTCGCACTGTAACAACTTGTATTTATTTTTATCTTCAATGTAATTGAATTGCAGGAATGTCGAATTCGGGTTCCAATAAAACGCATGGGAAAAAAGAGACCATCGATTTTTTCCAAACCGACCCATGGGCTCAATTTGGCCTGATTTGGGGGGCGCAAAATCGTCAAAGTTTGAACTTTTTGTCATCTGAAAAATCTCTCAAGGTAGGATACATTAAATTTCTTATATCAAATTTTGTTTTGATGTCAAATGATCCAGTGTTAACTCGATTTTTTTTATCATGCATAAACTTGCAGGAACTGATTTTTAGCAAGAGCATTTTTTTTACAGATAACACTAGATCTCGCCGTCACCTCAAATTTTGCAAACGGTCTTTTTTTCGAGGCAACGTACATTTTGTATACGGTCGGTTTCAAAAGTTGATTATTGGCACCCTAATGCATACATTTATCAAAGAAAACACTTCAATTTACATGTATTCAGACAGGCTCAGTCACATTCGGATTAAATTAAATTACGATTCCTACCTGGAGTCCCCCTTGGGATGGCACGCTTGCAGCAGCGCCGGTCTCGCTTCGTCGTCCAGTTCCAGTAGCGATTTAACGCCGGGCCTCCGCACGGTCACCTCCATCGTCAGGTAGAACAGCCGCGGATCGCGATGTCGCATTTTGCATCTTTAAAAATTGAAAACGAAGAAAAGGAACATAAATTCCACCATCCCCACTTCGCGAGCTTTAAATTGAGCGAGCATCCACTAAGCCATTTAAGGCTGCAACTAGATATAGGGGATTCAATTTCAGCTTACCTTCTGAGCAGCTGCTGAACGACGCTCTTGCTGGTGGCGTCGTACGATATGCCGAGCGTTTTATACTCAATGTCCTGGCGGAGGCATGCCGTATAGATTTTGATGGTTGTCTGTCGGTGGAGAAAGGACAAGGTAACAGATTAATTTACAAGTTATTACAATTTCCCGTCGGTCGTGCTGCTGAATTGGGATGGAGAATCAAGTGGCAGCGCGGTCGCGGTGCGGCACGTACGGTGAGTCTAATTTAAAAGGGGGTTTAATTTAGATGCCCCACGGGGTTTGCACCTGCTGTTACTTTATAGCCGCGGATTTGGGAACTTGTTGTAGTTGGCAGTACGGCAGCTTTGAATTATGTGCTGGGAATTACAATCACTCCGCAACATTTCATTAAAACTACCTCCAACGCCATTTGCACATTTCCTTTCCAGATCCAATCTGTTAAATTAAAAACACTCATCCCGAAGTACCCGAACCCAAACCCGTCACTCCAGCAGAGTTGAACTCAAACTGCCACCATCTGGTTGATGAATGTGTCCCGTCTTCCTCGGAAAGAATAACATCAACCAATGTGGAAGGTACTTCCTCCCCCACAAGCTTGGCAGCAGCAGCAGCAGCTTCTCGTCGTTCATCGTCGTCGTAGAACATCTGCTTCCTCGCATCATTGGCTTACCGTTTTCCGCATTGCGAAATATTACCCGATTTTTTCTCCAGCTTCTCAAAGCAAATACAAGCAATTTCCTCTCTCATGGACCCTTCGCTGACCACAGGTTCTGCGCAAGATGAACCGAGCAAATGATGAAACATAAATCAACACTTCCCTGCTTCCTTGAAAGCCGGATCCCAGGAACAGGACCTTTTTGGACGCGTGAAAAGGAAGCGAAAAAGAATCGCAGATAGATGTAGTAGAGATCAGCTCCGTGGAATTTGTACGTTGTTTGTCGTTCGTAAACAGAGGAAGGTACTGATGTTGATTGAGGTCCGGATCATCTCTCTCCGTCCATCCGTCCGTCCGTCAGTCCGTCCGGTGGCGTTATGGCCAAAGGTCTACGACCCCTTCGAGTCGCATTATTGTTCAATAAGGTTGGATTGATTGCTTTCCACATCAAATTCGACAGCTGATTGCAATGCTAGAATGTTTACAAGTCAGAGCGTTGCATTTGGCCATGCAGGCGGTGAAATCGGATCGCCACACGTCCAATAATGGACATGGCCAACACTCTGGCCAGCGAAGTGGAAAGCCGCTTTGTGGTTTACGCGCACTAGCAGCGCGGTTTTTGGACAGCATTGTTCTGTGTCGGGCGGTTCTTTCGTCTTTCGCTAAAGGCCTCCGTATCGTGCCGCCACCGGCCGGGGGTCGAAGAAGGAGGTATGCAAATGTTGTTCTGCTGTAGGTCGAAAGTGTAGAATTTCTCTCTCTTCGGAGAAGCGAGTGCGGTGAGTGAAGGGATGCGGAAGATGGTGCAAGTGTTGTGTTTTTGTTTATGCCGCTATACCGCCAATGGCGGTTGCCTCCAGCGCCCGGGAAAGTACCAACCGGGAAGGATTGAGTTTCACTGCCTTACCCCGTTAGACGCACGTTTGGTCGCGGTTGCTTCGCTCACCATAGGGCAGTATGAGCAGATGTGTATGAATGGAACATGTTCAAGGCTTCCACCGGAATAGATCCCAATTGTGTGCATAAACCATGTAAATGGTTTTTGGCGTAGGACTTTGTCTGTGATGTACGGGGTACACTTTGTGAAAACCGAAAATGGAACATGTAACAACATTATGAAAGATTTTGCACGTTAATAATTCAGTTGCCCCTGGACCAATTTCAATAACGTTATCACCAATCGATCAGAAATATGTCTACGCATCAATAGCAATGCTTCCGACGGGTGATTTTCATCAAGAAACTATTGAAAAAGTGGTAATATGGTAATGGGGTCACTGTTTTTAAAAAATAAACGTTTTTCCCAAACCCAAGCGCCACAATCGAGTGCTACTTGGTTGCACATCATTCTGCTTTAACCTGAAAAAGATATAAAAGAGCGGTGCTGTCTAGCCTCAACTCATTTTCCCTTCGGACGGCGTGGTGAGCAGGCAGCAGAAGCAGCAATAGCAGCAGTAGGAAGATGGTGGCAGGTTAGGTAGTCCATTATTCTGCCTAACAAGCAACAATGGCTGGTCGTGGCAAAGGAGGAAAAGGTCATGTGATTTTGATCGATTACCTTCATCTTTCGCTAATAATTGCCCTTTACTTTGAAGGATTGGCATTGGCAAACCACGCAAAGGGAGAGTGTCGCTACTTGATAGCAAACTACTCATGATGGGAGGAGTTTAAGTAGTTTACCGGTGGGTGCAACAATAAAGGCAATCAAAATTTCATTTTGTAATTGTTTACCAAACACAGACATCATATTCAAACACCATCGTGATTATGCATTGTAGTATTCTCTGTATATTCCAATTGGTACAGTGTTTACAATCCGCGTTTGAAGTGAATCAAGTGTTTATTGACAAATTCTGTAAAAACGTTCAAAATATCTCAACACATGGCTGCAAAATAGCTCCGCGATTATCGAAAGCGCGTGAGAGACCTGGAGGCAGGGAAACCTGCAAAACAGACGCGGACCGTTACTGAACGCGTTCAATTGTGTCGAGCCAATAAGAAAGCGGCCAAAGGTAATCCTAATTCTAGGATTTATTCAATAACCGTCCAATTTCAAAAAAATTAATAATGAATTGTTAATTTTGGAGTTAAGTTTCTAAACCATTTATTTTATTATTAATATATTAGTGAATGGAGCATCAAAAACAATCTTGTAGATCTACGTCAACAATGCGGTCGTGCTTTGGACACAACCCTTAACTTTTTTTTAAATGTCTCTATTAAAAATTGTACAGCTGATGTTGAAGAAGGTGACAGTCAGCAATGAAGCGGATTTGTAGGAATATTTTGAGGTCATCTGCATATGATAACCGAGGAGCTTCGATGACCAGATGCACGTCGTTGAAGTAAAGTATAAAAATCAACGGTCCCAGTTGGCTTCCTAGCTGATCTGCAATCTCCTTCGGCAACCTTTGGTTGGCGACCGGTAAGATATGATCGAAGATTACCGCATACACTGAGTCTGCCGAGTTTAGCAATCGCAATGGCATGGTTCAACTTTTCGAATGCTGCGGTTAGGTCTGAATAAATAACGTCCGTTTGAACCCGATACGACACGCTTTCGGTTATATACGATGTAAGACACAGCAGATTGGTGGTCGTAGAGCGGCCGACACTAAACCCATGTTGATCAGCACTCAAATACTGCTTGCAATGGGACAGCAACGGTTCCATAATCACTAGCTCGAATAGCTTCGAAAAGGCACTTAACGATGTAAATCCTCGATAGTTATCCACAGCTCGTTTCCTTCCTTTTTGTGGATGGAAATATGCCACTAGAGACATGCGGAACAGGCGATGAAGCGGGATTAACAAGCTAACAATATGTCTCTTCAAAAATACAGATGAAACTCCATCAGGTCCAGGATTGAAGAATGACTTGAGCAGAGTCGCGTCTTTAGAAATCATCTCAGCCCTAACATGGCAGCCAGGTTAATATGGCCGTCAGTTATTCTATCATTAGTGAATACACTGGCAAACTTGTCGGAAAAAAGGCGGCATATATCCTGAACGGTGGCAGCAACTTCTCCGTTGAATCCCATAGACGATGGGAGACCGGATTCCTTGCGTTGCTCGTTCACGTAGTTCCAAAAGGATTTCGGGTGTAGCTTAAGTTTGCACTGGATGCCTCGCTTTCACGACTGACTCGCTGGTACATGCGATTCAGCCTCACATAATGTAGTTTCAGAGGAAACGTGAGATACTTCGTAAATCTTCTCAATGCTGCTCTCTTGTTGACTTCAACCTACGTAGCTCTCTCGTCTGCCTGGGAGGGTGAGACACTTTGTAGTGAGTTCTTTTCGGGACGTGTCTATCAATGACATATGCCAAGACATTTGAAAAGGTTTGCGCTACAGCCTCAACGTCATCTGGATCAAGGATGTTCTCCCATACCAAGCTAGACAATACATCTATGATGCTATGGTGGGCAGCTTTACGGAATTCATAAGAAACCGTAGCAAGATAATCGTCTAAATCACGCACGACTTTGTTCTCAACAGTGACAATTAGAGGATGGTGATGTGGAACTAGCTTAGTTAGTGCACAAGGAGCCAAGGAAATTAATGGAGCCCTGTCCTGTATGCTCACGAAGCATAGGTCCAAACTACGATCATTTTCGTTAACTACATGCTGCGCTGTAGTTGTCGAGAAGGCTAATAGCTCCTGCGTGAAATGTAGAGCTATTCGGATCTGGATACAGGAATCCGCTATGAGGTGGACTCCACGAAATGCCTGCCAGATTCAAGTCACCCAAAATGAATATCTCGTCAACTGGAGTGGCACTTTCGACAACTGTGAAAACTGACCGACAGTGAGTATCGATGAGTTCATTGTCCTGGACTCGATCAGGTGGAATGTACAGAGCACATAGAAATAGTGTGCAATCACCCAGATCGATGTCCTCCAAACAAGAACACCTCCACCAGTAGATTTACGGCTGTTGTTAGGATTCCGATCGCAACGAAAGACCTCGTAGTCAGGACCGAAGGTTTGAATGGAAAGCGTTCGACAATCAAGCCACGTTTCCCACAGGACAATTACATCGTAGCAACAATCCGATACAACTAGGCGGTACTCTTCAACATCAGAATTCATTCCACCGGCGTTTTGGTAGAAGATCACGACGTCCTGCTTGCGGCAAGGAGTCGAACGACTGCTCTCCCTGGAAATCATAGATACATCAGGCAATAACTGACCATCACCAAATAATCACCAAGCCCCCTAACTACCCGATAATCGCCCTTTTTGCGATAGTAGGTAAATATAGGGTTTCCTAACTTTATATCCGTCGTACATCAGCCTTATATTGCAAAAAGGGCGATTAGCGGGCTTGTTGCCTACTTGGGTCATGAAGTCTAATTGAATACTCGCCATAGTGAGTGGGTTGGAAGACCCCCTCTCCACTTGCGACAGCAAATCCAGAACGACTATGATCAATGAATGCTGCTGATGTTG